TCTCATACTGTGTTTACAAGTAAACACAACCGTGTATTTAGACGTGATCGACTGAGCCCAGTAGAATACCAGAAGCTACTCTGAAACGTTTCAGAAGAAAGGGCAGAAAACTGAAGGAATCTGTTTATGAGCGTATTAGTCGAAGCATACCGAAGTCCTCTTGGCTACGTCGTTATGTGAAGGTTAGAAGAGTTACAAAGAATGTTTGCAAGCTTAATTAATACGAAGAGTGTAAGATTAAATAAAATAAAGTTACACAGCATGAGAGGAAGTAATTGCTGAATTGTTCTGTGAGGGTATATCAAAGGATAATTAAATTGAAGTCTAGAGCAAGTCAGTATATATATATATATCTTATTAACCAAGCGCGAGGGCCGCACTGGGAGAATATCGGCCCGAGGTCTTGACAGTACGGACCGAGCGCTGCGCGGTCCGTACTAAAAAGACCGTGGGCCGATATTCTTCCAGTACGGTCCCGAGCAAGCTTGGTTCAGAAGAAATTTATTATACGACTGAAGTTCAAAGGGACACAATTGCGGTATCATTCGGGACCATTCGGGACAGTGCCCGGTCCAATACTGAGAGAATATTGACCGGCAATAGAGCATTTTGATTGGTTGATTTTAGTTATTGGCCCTCTTACTGCCCGAGTCGTGTAATAATTATCAATATTTTCTTGTAAAAGACCCAGTGTCTTTATAAGAGTCAGACACACGAATGAAACTGTTGTAAATTTCAACTGAGTTCAGGTATAGAGAAAAACCCTGGTCCTTCTCCAATGTACATTGACCCTAGCAAAACAATAATGACACCATATAGCCAAGCTAATGAGTTGGTATTCGGACAAAATTCAGGACAACGATGTGTTGCAATTTTTAATACAGACAGTATTATCCACACTTTTAAATGTGTTCAAGACTGAAGAGCCTTTCAATCACATCCGAAAATTTCAACAATTTGGTCGTGACATTAGGATGTACTGCAGTTGCTATCTATTGTAAAGGTAATGTGGGCTTTAAAATATTCGATACTCGTGCAAGGGATGTCTATTGTAGAGGGTGGGTACATTTCGCTGACCCCCAGTCCATGGACTACCCTCGATGGACTACCTAAATGGACTACCCATATGGACTACGTAAATGGACTCCCCATGTGGACTACCCTAAATTACCAACTTTTACGCGAGCGGATCGAGCGAAAAGAGGGACTTCATTCTCTTTTGTACCAGACGCGTTCAACCGGCGACAACCTGTTGAAAATAAATCTATCTGTCACTTGATCACTAATAACTCCACCTCAATTTGTCGCCCGCTATATTCCCACGGCTGTTATTCAGGGGAAAACGAAAATGCTTCGAGAATCTACCTGGATCGCAATATCCGTGAAAATAACTACACTGTAGAGCTGGGCCCAGGGATATTTCCTAGAATGTAACTATTTCCTGCTGACATTGCAGGAAATAGTTACACTTACGGACAAGGAAACTTGCAGCCGCGCATGCAGTTCATTCACAGACAGTCGTTCAGTTCGGCGAAGCCCTTAGACTTATGAGAACTAACTCCTCGGCTAAAATCTTTCAAAAGAGCTCTTCGCAAATTGCCATTTGATATATTAGAAAAGGAGGATGAGAGGATGAGTGTATTGAAATCCTCATGAATATTAATAAAGTGGTTCATAAATATGTTACGTCGGTTTTATTTTTCTCCTCCTTGTCTTTCTAGGAAATATCTCTGGGCCCAGCTCTACAGTGTAGTTATTTTCATGGATATTGCGATCTTCAGATGATTAGAGCAGTACATTGAAGCTTAAACTAAAGCTACAAAACAACACCAACCGTGCGTCAGTCAAGAGCGATCAAGCAGTCCAGGTAGATTCTCAAAGCATTTCAGTTTGTTTTCTCTTTAATAACAGCCGTGTGAATATAGCGGGCGACAAATTGAGGTGGAGTTATTAGTTATCAAGTGACAGATCGGTTTATTTTTGACAGGTTGTCGCCGGTTGAACGCGTCTGGTACAAAAGAGAATAAGTCCCCCTTTTCGCTTGATTCGCTCGCGTAAAGGTAGGTAATTTAGGGTAGTCCAAAGACAGGATTAGTCAGGTATCCCACAATTCCACGCTTCGAACTATATTATCAATTCGCTCTAGTCAGATAGTCACTCAGTCGAGATGGAGGTAGTTCAGTTCAACAGCGAAGTGCTCTCGCGTTCGCCACTAATCATTTGTTTATGTCAACTGCTTGGATTTCGATGCTCAGACTTAAATCAAACTTTCCAATTTGGCTTGTTGTCCGAGACTTCCAGGCTTTCAATGTGATACTCTTTCAATTTACCCAAACAGCTAGAGGATGAAAGCGAAGATCGAAGACCTTCAGTGATTATAATCTTCGACTTCGATTACGTCGAAAATCGGTCTCTTGCGGCTTCGGATATTCGACCATATGACGAATGTGAAGGAGATAACAACATCCCAGAAATGCCCTGGCTAGACTTACAAGTCTCAAATTGTAATATTGCAGTTGCTACCCGACGAAAGGAAAAATCGCCGTGAAAAGCCAGTCTTCCGAAGAAGTGGCAAGCGACTCGAGTTACCAAAAGAAATAAAGAAAACACTCCATCACAAGATACTAGCCTTAATTCAGGAGCAAACCTGTACACAGATGTACTAAAAGGGGCATTCAATACAAAGGCTATTGATCTATCAAAAGCGGGCCGGATGATACACCAGTCGAGGAAAGACGTCAAAATTTTGGCGCCAATTTAAGCAATTTTCAACGGCCACACATTCCTACAAAATTTGGGGACTTAAGGGGACCTTCGCTAATATTGAGAAGTGCCATTATTCAGGCACCACCAGGAGGAAGAATATGCTTAAGTACCCACCAATAGTAGCACAACAGGCAAATATCGATCACGCGTTAAAGTAAAGCGCATAAACAAAGCCACTCAGTCGTGCATACCACTCATAACAAAGGCGTTTTTTTCCATTTAGAGAAGAGCAGGTCCAAGTACTAAACTCAACTTAATTGTTACAAGAATACATAAAACCGTTGAAATCACCTTCCGTGCTCCTGAATAAGGACAAACAGCCGTTTAAAATTCAGTGGACTTTCTAGCGCGTGCACTCGAATTCGATGCAATGTGAGACCTTCTCATCGATAATAATGCGCAAGGGCTAATGGGATACCCGACTAATCTTCCTTTGGTAGTCCATATGGGTAGTCCATTTAGGTAGTCCATCGAGGGTAGTCCATGGACTGGGGGTCAACGAAATGTACCCACCCATTTGTAGAAGCCATCCTTAAGGTACATGTGTGCTGCTTGAAGTATCATCACTGAATAGCATAGTACATTATTTTAAGAGTATACATAATAATGATATATTTGAGTTGAAAGGGGTTAAAATTAATAAAGTCCAAAATAGTACCCTTTTTCAGTCATGCCTTTGAAACCAGAAAGTTCAATGTGAGTTGTGCTGTAGCTGTCTATTCACTCTGCTACTCCGTAATAAAATCATGTAGTTATTGGAATTCAAACAGGCTTATCGAATGTTATTCAGTATGGCAAAAGATTATATGAAAATTGATCTTTATACAAGTATTTTCCATCAGATGACTTGCCAAAAACTGTTAATGTTTGGGGAACTGAAGTAAGTTTAGATCTCAAAAGTGATTACAATGAAGGAATATATTCTGATTCAGTTCATGGCAAATCAAATCGTGAAAATCTTGTAAGAAATAATAGTGAATGCACAGGGTTTTTGATGTGGTTTTCAGTTTTTTGTATATGTATTTTTTAAACCCACAAAAAGGTCAAAATATGTGTATTCTCTCTTGGTCTTCAATGAAAGTCAAACGCCTCTAATTGAATATACTAAAACTGTAAATAGCACTGCTTCCCTTGTTGTGGCCATCAACAATATCCAATATCCAGAGATTTTTCTATTTAAAACAGTATGAACTACTGAACAGTAATATTACTTCAATCTACTGCAGATTTCTGACAACTCCCATTGGGTGATCACTTGGCAACAAACTATGACTCGGTACCAGTAATAGATGAAAAATTCCCTTCTCCTTCCAGTTAAAAGGCAAATACATTACCTACTCAAGGCTTGTAAAAGCCTTGAAGTCCTTGAAGATGCTTGAATTTAAAAATAAAAGATTCAAGGCCTTCTTGAAAGTACTTGAATTTGAGGACTAGGGCTTGATTTTTTGCAATGCTTTTTCCTAAGCAATTTTCAAGTTGAAAATTACAGTACTTTCATGGAAAAGCTGAGAAATAATATTAAATAATTTTAAAATTGCTTATGCAAACCTTTCCAAAAGTGGTCCTTCAATTTTCTAAAACTTGGCCTTCAAAGTCAATGAAAAGTCCTTGAATTTTAACCTTTGAAATCTGTAGTAACCTACTCCCATATGGTAATATGTTATTTTGATTGTTATCAAGTACCATAACAACATTAATTACACTCCAGCAGACAAAAACAAGCACAAGTAGACTTATTCATGACCGGCAAAGACGAAATTGCGTGACAACAGAAGGCTTGGTTTATACGTCGCGCTACAGTCGAATTTAATTCAGACGAATTTAATTTAAGGTCCCACAAGCAATTATATTCGACGATAGCGCGACGTCTAAAACGAATTAAATTCGTCTGATAAATTGAATTCGTCCTAGACGTTTTATCCGTCTTAGTAAGACGGATAAAACATCGATAACGCGTCTTCAGTTTTAACGTCGTACTTGCGTCTGAATGAAATGCATACATTTTCTTAATTTATTTTGGGAGCCCGCAGTGACCCGGGGCGAGTTTTTCGAGTGACACCTCTGACCAGAGACACTGGATTTGGGAAGAGAATTCAATTCGACCGTATTGATTTCGACGCATAAAACCACACCACGATGTATGTCGACGGAACGACGAATTTAGTGGAATTAAATTCGACTGTAGCGCGACGTATATGGCAGTCCCCTAAGGATAGCTCCAGATATGCGATATTGAAAGCCCAAGTTCACGCAGCTATGCGTCTAGTTAGCTTTATAACTGAGGTCACTGAAATACAATACTTCCCAACTGCTATGAGGAAACAGGTAATGTGACTCCAAGGGATAAAGGCTGATAGTTTCGAAAGAAACTGTTTGGGGCTGCGTCGGTGGGAGTAACGAAATAATTTGGATATATCAACAAAAGTTGAAATGGTAAATTGGCCACCGTAATGATTACAAAAGCTGACGTTTCGAGCGTTAGCCCTTCGTCGGAGCGAATAGAGGAATTGTGGGTTGTGTGTGCTTTTAAAGGCAGAAAATGGAGCTACGTTATTGGTGGGTGCATGGCAACGAGAAAAACATGAATAAATGACTTCAAGGGAGGCTAATTTAGTGCTATTCTTTTCCTGATTTTCTCAGAAAACCACGAGGTCTAGAACACCGGAAGTTGATTTTAATTCCTGTTTTTGCTAGCTGAGGCAAAAAATCACATCGCTACTTTACGTTCTCAACTTGAACTACACCGAAGAAGTATGGGGGAACTAAAACTGGTAGCTTGCCTAAAGTGGTACAGCACGTTTATCTTCTTGGGCGGAACCATTGTTGGCTTTGCTGATCCCATCACCGATATACTTACACTAGTGGGATTCTATCGCGAAGATCACAAGACATGGTTCGCCGTGGGGCTAACTTTTATTATCTTGCCTTGTTTTGTTTTCTCGTTGCTCTTTTGTATGCTTAAGTTGGAAGAGTTTCAAAGGCCGACGTCGAGTTACAAAAATATTTTTTTACAAGTTTTGCTTTGTGGTTTCAATCCGTTCTCAGCGGCTTTGGCAAGACTACAAGGTTTTATTTTCTGCTTGAAGAATTTTAAGACGCTTTGGCAAGGTAATCAGGGCGACTTAAGCGAAGATACTGATGACAAATGGAATATTGAAGAGCTTCTGTTCCACAGCGAGTTAGCTCTGCTCTTTGAAGCAGTTCTTGAATCAATCCCCCAGTTCATTCTTCAGCTGTACGCCATGAGTGTGCAACAGGAACCAGTGAAGATCATTCAAATGATCTCTTTACCTGTGTCTTTCCTTAGTTTAGCCTGGGCGTTTACGACAGCCGACGAGTTGCTGCAAAAGGGAGAGACTCAGATCCACGTCCTGAGGATGAAACACAAACTTTTGCTTTTCTTGACTCACGCAGTCCTCTTGAGCAGTCGTCTGTTTGCCATCAGTTACTTTATGGTCAGTTATAAGTGGTGGGTTATCGTGATATTAACATGCCATTCATTTGCGGTATTGGTTGCAGAGGCCATTTGTATCTGCGGCAGATGTGGCGGTGACCGAGGAACGGCGCTTATTTTGATCCTGTTCTTCTTCCTCAACTGGCTGAGAGATGATTGGTCGGTAAAGATTCACGATGAAGATAACGAAAATAAGAGGATGCTATCAACAAGAATGCGATTGTTTTTCAACGTCTTGTTTGCGGTCGAGAACATCGCCATGATCCTTATGTTCTACCTCACCAGTCCATACTCCAACACTTGGTACTCGCAGCCTGTCACTGTTTGCGTCTGTTTGTTTTCTGTCATTGGAGCGGTGGCGAGAGTTACTCACTTTCGTTTCTTAACCAAAGAAACGGGCAGTTATTCGACAATGGAGAGGAACGAAAATTTATCACCCAGTGAAATACCAGTAGCGAGAGTCTCCATAACTTCTCAAGCGTCCCAAGTGGTGATCATAAATCAAGGGTTTCGGAAAGAAGATGAGTAACAAAATTGCGAAAATTGCTGACTATCCTTTAAGTGGGCAGACAGGCAATAGGCAGTACAATTCAGCAGGTAACAGTTAAACTAGAAGTGAAATCCCAGCGGTACTTAGTTACTTTATTTATTTTATCATGTGTCCTAAGTCTTATGCGATGTTTCGGTAGACTCAAAACTGGCAGCAGACAACTGAGTGTAAAGCCTAAAGAGTTGTAGGAGGCCGGTGATAACTGAAAAATATGGTTTGTTTAGTTTATATTCGTTCATGTGTACATTAAAGTCAGGCGTTCTCTGCGTTAAACGATTGCGGAAATTTATCGAGACAAAAAAGAGTACCCTAATTGCAATATCATACTTTGGTTCAAAAGCATATAACTAATATCGGGGAAGGTTGTTGATTGATAACTAAATAAAACTACGCGGTTTAACTCGTGATACCATTTCAGTGCTTTGTTAATTGTTTTTAGTCAACATTAAATTTTTTCAAGCCTTCCCTTCAATTTCATCAAACAAACATGAACTTTGAATTTTCGTTCCTGTGTGTTACCTATAGTTTCTTAGTAGTTTGTCAGATTATAAGACAAAGAAAGTTAAAAGTCAGTGAAACACGAAACCGCACTTGACGTGATGGTCAGTGCTCAACCTTTCGGCTGGAATAAAATTAATCATTTTCCCGGTTGTAAAAAAAAAAATTCCTATTCATAAGGTAAAATGTTTTTGCCTGAAATACGTCTGGTCCTCAGGTATATCGCGCAAAGAAAGTCCCATGATTATTACAGCCATAGTCAAGTCATAGTCAAATTTCCTCGAGACAATCGAGCGATCCGGTTTAATCCTCATCTAGTTACAAAGCCACGGGCTATCATCATTTTTCACATAGAGGTTGGGGCTTACAATGGGTGTCGGGGTCATGCAGTTTTTGTTGTGAATAATGATGGATAACATCCGCTAGGTCGCTTGTTCGCTCGCTCGCCCGCACGTACGTACGTATGCTCGATCCCTCGCTTCTATCCTCCTTCCCTCGACTTATGGCTGTGGAAATTTGGGACACAACAGTTACACGTAAACATCCACTATTTCAGCCCCAGCATTCAACGCGAGTCCAACTCGTTACGAGGATTGTTTAAAATGTTCCTGATAGTCCCGGAAAAACCCTAAGCTTAAGCGGCACCGGAACTTCATTTCACCAACAGATGCTTAAAAATTCAGCATTCCGTTCAACATGACTGAGTTTTAAAGGAAACAGCTCTCTAGAATCTACAGATAAACAAGCTAAAGAGTCTTCTCAAGAATGGCATCTTGTCCAGCATGTCTACCGTGTCCACCGCGCCCATCGTGTTTACCGTATCCACAGTTTTCACCATTTTCATCGTGTCCGCCTTGCCAAATACCGAAGTGGCCGACAGATATCCGGCTGATAGTCCTTGGTGCACCTACTTAATCCATTCTCGTCCGCTTTGGCACAACTTAAGATCTGTCGGAACTGAATTTCAAGATATGCTATAGGGAGGTTCACTGGGGGATGCCGATGCCACTCCACATTATTACAGCAATTATGTCCGATTTTTTGAAGCAGCCACGGTTTACTCACCAGCGCTCTACGCTGTGAGTTTGTAACAACTAGTAAAGATCATTTAACTAATTTCTTTCTTCGTGTCTTTCCTGAGTTTAGTGTGGGCTTCCACAGCTAGTGACCGGTTATGTATTGCATTCAACCCAGTTTTACGGAATGTAACTTGAACACAAAGTTTTTCTCTTTGTAACTTACTTATTTCTCTTGAGCAGTACACTGATTTCCATTTTTTTTTTCACCATTAGCTACGAGTGGCACATTATTGGTGTGTTGATGATTCACCTTGTGTTGATCCTAATAATTGACGAGCGTTGGGCTCTTAGAAAAACGCACGGCTCAGTGACGTCTTAACAAGTGATAACAAGTGAGAGCAGTTCAAGTTAAATTCACACCTGTTACCACAATACCTTTTTCGTTGAGTGAGAAATGTGTCGGCGGAGGTTCGACGGAAACTTCCCTTAAAGCGACAACCTTATCTGCTTTGGTCTGAACTTATCCCCGAAAAATGAAAGCATATAATGAATGGGAATTTTAAAAATGCCTCCATTTTGCTTTGATAGTGTTGCAGTAACTATAATAGAAATATTGTCGTTCCCATTCCTTTAAACGCGTGAGTTTCTCGCGTGTTACAGGTATGTGCACTCATTTTGCGGCTGTGGCGACCCTGGCCGTTGTTCATCAGTAACAGAGTTGTACCTTGGTGGATTAAGAAAATTACACATGAATATTCCTTTCTGTGATTGCGAAATATTGCTTGAAAGATAGATGTTTGGAAGCAACATTTCCAAAAAGAAAAACGGGGGTTCGCAGCCCTTCAGCACGCGCTCATATTTGAAGCGTGAGAGTAAATCAAACTTTAAATCATCATAGCATACTTTGACGTAGCTCCCGCTTGAGTGTAGGTTAACTGTCCTATGGCATTCAAAAGGCGAAATCTTTGCTAACTCTCTTCAATGCTTCACTTCAAAATATTTGTAGGAATGTGTTTTCAACAAGGAGTCAGAGAGCACTGGGTTGCGCGTTTTCTGGAACGGAGATTTTCGCATCCACAACTGCGATACGTGCTGAAAACGCTGGTACTTCACCTTTAACGGTACTGAATAAACCACTCCTGGTACCATCGACGGTATTCTCTATTTGTGGATAGGTAAAAGTACGCAAGATATTCACCGTGTCCGCCATATTGAAGGTGTATGCGAGACCCTTGCCATGGGAGAAGTCACAGTGGGTTTCTCAGTCAGTGACTGCAGTGGTTATGGAAGCGGTGCTGATGCCTACAACGGCTGGAACTTAGTCAGCCGAATCTACGTAGAGGAGGTACCAGCACCATATATAGACTTAGCTTATATAAAGAGACCGATCCTCTAAGCAGCTCATTTATGAAACACCCATTTAGAAAAATCCAACTATGATAGGTCGGGTAGAATTTTGTTCTTAACACAGGGTTTACTAATTACTTTGTGTAATATTTCAGCAAGAAATCTTAATGAAGTTGGAATCGTTTGAGCGATCAGACTATATACATGCCTTTATTAGCATAGACTTGTATAACTTCAACTAGCTGATTTCCTGACGGGCCTACCTAAGTTCTGGTGGGAGGCATGCCTCGACATGTAGTGCACCCTCAAGCTGAGGATTTACTTCATGATTTTCTTCATCATCCATGTCATATTTCATATTTCATTATTAGGGGAGATTGGATATGATCAGTACTTCCGACCCCTCTCCTAAGCCCACACATTGCCAGCTTTCGGACCATGTCCTCATCTAAGTTCCTAATAAATTCCTATAGAAAGAGACAAAGACAAATACAGAGTCCACATGATCCAATTATATAGTGAAAGTTTTCCCAAATAAAACTAAGCATTCAAAAAGTATGGCAAAACATGCAGTCGAAAGTTATGTTCTTTACTTATCACTGTACCGCGATTGTGCCATTGTCTTCGGTACGTGAAGAAACGATGTCATCCCCCAGTTGTGAAAGTTTTCTGTAACTTGAACTTTGAACCTAACATTTGAATGGCAGACTAAGCCTTTCAACAAGGGTTACCTTTACTTACACGCTTCGCCATGTTACCATTTTATAAGTGACTCTGCATTCTTCCCTTGTGAATTTAGAAAGTTCTTTTATTCTAGCGCACTACGGAGCGAACCTCCATGCCCTCCCGATGCCATTTGAATGTAGCACTGACAATTTGAAATATTTTAAACCATTCACCTTAATTTCTGCTCTGATTGAGACGAATAAGATATCGGTCATTCACTTTAGCCTAGGAATAACTAAAGTAGCCTATAATTTTATCGCATTTTGCATTTAATGAAGTTTTATTTGATACACAAAGTGTAGCGGTTTTTCTAAAAAAAAAAACAAAAAAAAAAAACAGCGCTCTCATATATTTTTAGCGTAGTTATTTGGTTACGCACGAGCAGCTATTTGGCTTTAGGGAAACTAACTAATAGCACGCCTCCAAACGACTTTGATTCTTCTTTTCAGAATATGGGGAGATCTACAACTCTTCTTGCTAGCCAAAGTCTTGAGTCTCTAACTTTTCAGCCTCTAAAATCCCGCTCCGTAGTCACTAGTGCAAACAAATTGCTTCCGTCAATTGAAAAATTTTTTCTTTTACCCCAGAATTTGCATAAGTTCCTCATTTGATTTCATCGGTTCTATAAATATATAAAAAGGTGTATCATAACTACCTTCACTATTGTTAACGGATAATTCGACTGTGCAAATACGGACCGAACTTGGTTGGATTGTGCAACAACTTGGTGAGTGATACTTACTTCCTATTTGAATTTAGCTGTTTTTTTGCCTTCGATCTATTGACTTCTCCATAGCTGGAACAAATTTCTTTTCGCAAAACTCACGCGAACTACTCTTCCCTCTTTTCGCCACCTATCCTAAACAGTAACAGTCTCGAAATCTCGTCTCAACCACCATTACCTGTCTATCAGCTCAACCAACGAAAGACCAAAGGTGTAGCAAATTACTCGACAACTCGGCTTGCGCAAACAGTTCTCGACAACTTTGTTTACGAAATAGGAATAAAAATATTCTCTAGGTTCTTCATTCCTTTGTCCAAGTTTTTGAGGTTCAGTTTTCTGAACATCGGTTTTTTTTTTGTTCTTATTGATATGAGTATAAAATGAATTTTTGGGAGATTGACCGTTCGTAAAATGACGTATCTGCTTTCCTGTAATATAGTCCCGTCTCTAACAACATCTTCGATAAGTTCTCCAAGTGGAGGCCTGTTTAGGCACATGACATAATTTCCCCATTCAAAAAGATTCTTAGAGGGTTTCATTCTGAGAGTCTACCACATAGCATGATCATAAATTTTGTGCTATTTTTAGTTTGAAATTCGCAGATTTATCGCCGAACAACCCTCTTTCAACAAAAAAAGTTCCAGCTTTAAAAAAATTTTTGATATAAAACTCTGCCTGCGTGAAAATTTTCTTTTGGTGCCCCATGCATGTGCGCTGAAAATATCCATCTAGTTCTCATAAATCGAGGTGCTTTCCTCGTGTTAACTTAACGAGCAAAATGATTTGAAAATATCCATTTTTTAAAGAATTGTGTCAATGTTCTGCCTATTAAGTACAATTGTCTTTTTAAGCACCTCATTAGTATATTTTTGGATGACAGAAAGATATACAACTCTTTCGTGTTCGACTAAATTTTTCAATTTTTAATCCCTTACAAAGCCTTTCCCATGTCATCATTGAAACAAAAAATTTCGATCGTGCAAACAAACAATTAAATTGATCAGTGGGTTGGAACATTTTTTCCTTTTAACAAAACCTCAGTATTTGCATAACTTCCTTGTTATGAAATCCTTTACAAGGCCGTTCCTAGGTCATTATCGAAACAAAAAACTTCACTCGTGCCGAAAAATTGATTAATTCAGTACGTAATGAGTGTGGAACACATTTTCCTGTTTGTAAAACATCAGTATTTGCATAAGTTCCTTGTTTGATTTCATTGGTTATATGATTATATAAAAATGTGTATCCTTTTTACCTTCGTTAGGCTCAACAGGTAATTCGACTGTGCAGTGACTCAGCGAAGTTGGTTGGATTATGCATCAACTTGGTGAGTAATACGTACTTCCTATTTGAGTTTAGCTGTTTTTGCCTTCGACCTGTTGACCAGTTCTTCTTTCTCTTCGCCACCTCGCCTGAACAACAATTAACAGTCCCGGAAACTCGTCTTAACCGCCAAAACTTTTCTACCAGCCGTGGTAAACCAGGGACTGACGAAAGGACAGCAAATTACGCGACAACCCGCTTGTACAAACAGTTCTCGACACCTCTAGATCTGCTTACTAAATATGAATGAAAATATTTGCATTACTTAAAGCGAATATTTTAGAAGTTGATAGACTCTTAGGTCCGGTTATTAAACAAAGTTAAGCCACAGTTTAACAAACCGCGTCTTAAACAATCTTCAACTTAGCTAGACCTTTTATCAGAACGTTTAATTTTTAAATAGTGCCGGTCCAAAGGGCCAAACGTTGACAATGAAAGAACAGTCATCTTATTCAATCAATCCTTTAACTGAGAGAAAGCCTGAAGTTCACCGATTGCGTATGACTGTGGTTAGAGTTATACTTCGTGTAAATAACTTAGTGCCTTCCTCTTCTTTCTTTGTCGAGGTTCAGTCTTCTGAACGTCAACATCTATTTTTTTTTTTTACATTCCATTACTCGACCGGGCTTGCCAAGCTCAGAATTGTCTGCTTCGCGTGTCCACATAACCGCCCATTTGAACAAAGATTGCCACAGTCTAAGAGTTCTGTTTGTCCGATCTATTGTCTGGAGCTAAGCTAATTAACTCCAGTGATTGTGTCTTTGCCAAGCAAACAATCATTTGACTGCAAACAGGAAAAAAACACACTCCTTGCACTTAATGACGTGATAATCGGTCTTATGCAATAAAATAGGAGTGAAAATATTTGCATTACTTCAAGCTAACGTTTTACAAGTCGATAGACTCTTGGTGCCTTGCTTTTTCTACTTTGCTGAGGTTCAGTTTCCTGAAAATCAATTTTTTTTTTCTTCGTATTGATATGATATAAAATGGATTTTTGAAAGATCAATTCTTCGTAAAATGACGTCGTTTTACACGCCTCACCTGTAATGGTCCCTTCTCTAAAGACATCTTCTAACTTGTTACGTTAGTTTTAACGAAAACAGGACGATCATCTTTACCGCTAAGACCTAGCTACGACCAAGTAAATATGTTACCAAAATGCTTTGAAAATGTTTCATAATATGAGTGTTTCTATCTTGTCTAACATTTCTTCAGGTTTATTCAATATGTTGATCGCCATAGTAACAGTGCTCCTGTTACCTTACTTGTCTGTTACTGCCAAAGAGTATGCTTGGAACGAGGTTAGTTTGTCTCTTCGTCAGAAGGAGGATTCTGTGTTGTTTTTTTCAGTAACATAGAATCAAAAAATCTCTCTCCTTCCAAAATGTTCGTTCTTTTGAATATAAGTCTTGCAGAGTGAGTGAACAGTTGATGCAACCTTTTTAACTAGTGAAATTAGCGCGATCACGGGTAAAATTTTACGTTGTAAAGGCGATAAATATCCATTTTCTGGTTTAAGGCTAATGAGCTAAGTTTTTACCTCAGTTCTGGATAATTGTCCAAGGACCTCGTTAGAATGACTTTGATCAATAAACTCAAATCTGCTAAGATCACCTTTCATTTTCTCTCATATTTCAGTATCGATTAATGATTTTTTATCAATTCATTTATCTATCTTTTAGGGGTAATTATCATAATCCTGCTTTGGTTCTCTTCTATTTTACAATCAGAAAGGTTGCATTAGTATTAGAATAATAAAATTTTCCCTCACATTAGTGGATGATCGTGATATACCCCTTGGTGAAATCAGGAGCTTTTCTGCGGGGGTATTAAGTAGCACTCCCTTTTCCTTAATTCTCTTTAGTGTTCAGACTCATCGTCGTCGTCATCCTGCAAAAGAGGTTGTGTTCCGGGAGTTCCGGGAGTTCCCGGGACACCCGGTTCAAATGGAGCATCCGGTCTACCGGGGAACCCTGGGGTAAATGGTGCACAAGGGCCACCAGGCACAAAAGGCGAGACAGGTAGCACTGGTCCTCAAGGTCCACCCGGTCCACTGGGTGGTAGTTGGAAGCAGTGCGTTTTTAATAAACTCAATGATGGCAGAGATAATGGTCAAGTCGCGGTAGGCATACATTATTACTTACCAACGAGTGAATGGTAGTTTTGGGGTAGCTGGTTACCTGACCAATAACTCGTAAACATACCGCTGAACCTGCATAAATGAATAGATCATAAGGAGACAGAAAAGGAGGCTTCTGGTCCAGGCCTTGGGATATGTTAATTTCACTTAGGTTACCGAGTATCTAACAGTTATTCGATGAACGCGAGTTGGATAGGAGATGATACATAGCCAACGAGGAGCGTAGCGCCGATTTTGATTTGTCCAATCTCTTCACAGCAAGCGCGAATTGAATAACTGTTTTATCAAATTTATCAAATTCTGAACGTTTGAAAAAATGGGAGCTTTTTCCAGCTCCGCAACTGTTGACCCAATCAGGCATTTCCATATTGGGTGACTCAGTATGAGCTGATAGCCGGAGTTGAGTGAACCAATTAGAAAATTCAGTACAAATTCAATATTCGGAGTTATAATAAGGTTTAGATATTACGCGCGCTGTCATTTGTTGAGAGAGCGTGTTTTATCTTAAAATGTAACACTGAGCTGAGCTAAACGGTGTCACGCCATCTGTCAATTTTTACAATTTCCAACCATCTCTCGGACTTGTCGCTAGCTTTTTCCGTTGTCCATTAAAAGTGAAATTTCGGAACGAGCGAGCCGGTAAGTAGCAACAGAAGAACCATGAAACTTAGGTTTGCAAACATGCCAAATGCCGTAGTTGACGTTATTATAACGCATGCTCTGATATCCTTTCCGATACGTTGAGTGGAAGGCCCCATCAGTCACAGCAGCCGAGTTTTACGAGGAATCTTCATGTTCCTGTGAATTCGGCTGTCGTTCATTCAGAAAAAACAAGCCACGAACAGTTTTATTACTGATTGTTATCTGCTGAATTTCACCAAACATTTCACTTTTATATTCTGTACTGAGTAAAAAATACAGGCAAAAGTGTTGCATACCGATATATTTCAGTTTGTGAACTATTGCAGTTGCAGATGAAGAACTTTAATGGTTTGACATTTTTGACAGCTTTGGTCTTATTTAACCAATCAGATTAGTTGAACCACTCCAACAAGGATCCTGATTGGCTTATCTTGGCGTGTTTCATAAGAGCGTAAAACATACGGTCGACCACCTCCCCACCTGTGTTGATAACTATTGAAAATTAGGTGTAAAAAGCGAAGGTTGATGAAATTTTAGGCTAGCCAAACATTGCAAATTCATTTTTTTTATGCACAAACCTTCATAAAAATGATGAAAACTGTTGTGACACAACAAAACCGTATTGCCTTGGTCGCAAGATCAAAATAGCTGAACTGAAATCAACACATCCCGATCAACGCCCTTATTTTTTCATCTCTGTCTCCTTATGACTGAACTAGCATACATCCAAGAAGTCAAATCTACAGATCATGTTTCATTTGGCCAGAACGCAAAGATTAGGTCCACACATTAAGACCTTGTGAAATCTTGAACACTCAAGAGAGATTTTCGCTAACTATCTTAAATATTTCCCTTAATTTTTTAGCAATGCGTTTTCAACAAGGAGTCAGACAACACCGGGTTACGTGTTTTCTGGAATGGAGATTTTCGCATCTTCAACTGCGATTCGTGCTGCAAACGATGGTACTTCACCTTTAATGGTGCGGAATGCACCACTCCAGGTGTTATAGAAGGTCTTCTCTATCTCTGGAAGGGCAGGAATACGCAAAATATCCACCGTATCCGCCATGTTGAAGGTGTATGCATGAACATTGCCAAAGGCCAAGTTACAGTGGGTTTCTCGGTCGGTAACTGCCCCGGTTTTGGAGGCGGCGTTGATGCGTACACCGGCTGGAATTCGTTAACTAGAATCTATGTGGAGGAAGTGCCACCACCACAGGCTTAGCTTTTCTGGGAAAATTAAATCTGTAAGCAGCTCATTTATGAAAGATCTGTTTAGAAGCGTAGGAGTTAGAAGAAAAAAAAAAAAATCCAGCCGACCTATCAGCCTGAGGTTTTGTTCTAAACAAAGGTTTAGCTCAGCGGGTGCAATATATTTCGTGTAAACCAACTTTTAGGACATCTATCTCAAAAATCTTAATAAATTTCGTTCGACAGATCATTCCTCTGCTCAGTCCTTATATTTTACGTATACTAGCATGGGCTTCGGTAGCGCCGCCTGTGAAGCTCAGAAAAAACAATTTACAAAAAGGCCAACATTATGACAAAAGCATAATGTGATTTTATCTCGAGGCCCGTCATATATATAGTTTTAAAAGTATTTAGGTGTGCCTTTGCATGGGGCAAGGAACGTGTGCTAATCACAGAGCTTAAGCCAATCAAATGAGGTCAGATCAAATAGCCCGATGCACCAAGGTCATAGGCAAGGTCAGTTTCTCTCCTGGTCCTTCTCGCCTTCACTCCCATCGTGTTAACATCCGAACACAGATTTTCGGTACTGTAGAAGAATTTTTCCGCCCCTCCCATGCTCCGGCCTTCTCTTCAGGTCTTCGTTGCCTTCTTTATACGTACTTGGCTCTTTGCCGATATTTAACCCCACCTTTGCTTAAGAGATGTCTCATATGGGTCAAATTTAGCTAACAATTTGAGGTCTGGAGCTGGTAATGTCCGCTTTAAGTCTGCAGGTTTTAAGTCAATGAAAACATTGATTTAAACTAATGAATAAGGGAACATACATTTCGGCATCAAATCACGCTGAAAGACCACTCGACTACCCTTTTTTTTCATTTTGCTTTACTTCAAGTGGTCACGCGCCACGTTGGTAACAGAACACCGCTTTCAGGCAAAGAGTCACGGTATAATCATGATGCTGTCAGTCTAACCGACCTTGTTGACTATGGCTTCACGTTTCATTCTTCAGAGGAAGAGAGGAATAGGACCAGAATCCAACAAAAATACAAGCACTGTATCATAAATCAAAATATATTTAAATGTTTGACGAGGGTAAGTTTAACAATACTCCTAAGCTGTAACTTTGACAAAGCTGAAAATTCGTTCTCTGAGCACATTAAGTGGATATCCATTTTGACTATACAATGGTTGTCAAAGCTAAGAAATTCTAAAATGAAAACTGTTAGATCATATCAGTATGTCTCTGGATGAGGTTTTCAAACTAATAATGTCAACATCGGAAAATCAAGGCACAATTATCAGACGGTGTTGTTCTCCCGGAAAGGACAAAGAAGCCATTTGAGTGGCTTTCCTCTTCCGTCACGCTAATAGTCACACAAGCACCAGGCTCCTAACGTCACAGGTCTTTGATCATTTTTTGACACTCAGGGTTCTCAATAAGTTTTGATGTAGACGGCTGAAATATAAAAGCAGGCGGCGGGAGAAGCGAGTACCACTAGCACGAGCCTCTAAGGGGGTCTTGCAGCATGACCCTCCCCTCCCCCCTCCGAAAAACTTCAAAATATAGAAGGTTAGATTTGCCATTTTGAGCCTTTTGGAAAGCAAATTTGGTTTTAAGAAATAATTATTTATTAGAAACAACCATAAATTTTACTGAACATCTTTCTTTTCTTGGAATCCTTATAATGGGACCAGACTACACCCCAAAAAGGGCAGTAGTCCATTAAAGTAAAGGTTTTGTAGAACGTCAAGGCCATTCAAGGCAGAAAATATTGAGAAACTCCTTTTGTCACTGTTTTTGTGTATTGATTTGAATTAGTTTCATTCTCTCAAAAGTGGTTGAAACAATTATTAACACAGAGTTAGCTTGACTCAGCATTTGGCCATGTTAGAAAGAACTAAAATGCCAAGTCATCGTTGTCAGATCCAAAAGCGTAGTCAGAGTCACAGTCAGTGTCACTCTCTGAACCTTTTGATTGCAGATTAAGGGCCTCTAGAACTTCATCAAGGTCTTCCTCATTTACATTTTCCTCATGCTCTCTATCTGCAGCTGTACAACTCTGAACAGCAATTGTCTCCTCCCTTTCACATTGCACTCCCATTTCCTTTGTTTCACACTGGACAATCACCAGAGATGGCTCTGAAGTAGGATTATCTGACTTTGGTACCTTTGGAAGTTTTCTTCTCTCCTTTGCCTCAAGCCAGACGCTGGCAGCTTCCTTTACAACAGGCAAGCAGCTCTGGACACCTGGTCCATTTTTTCCCACAGCTAGTATTGCTTGCAGCATGTCATTTTGGAGCTTGCTTCTTAGACGAGTCTTACGTTCTTTACTGCACTGGCACCCCTCTCTGGCCATGCATTACTAACTGGCAAACTGACAACTACTTCAGCAATGTAGAGAAGGAGGGGGAAGAATTTAAAAAAGGAAGATTTATTCTTAAGGAGATGAAGAAGAAACTATTCTGTAGTGGTGGTTCTACTTGAACCAAACTTCACTTCTATTGGAATCATCTTCTTAATGTTATCATTCACATGGCATTTCATATAAGGCCACTCTGCTAGAGGCTTCTCTGATTTTAGCTTTTGGACTTCTTCTGTTTCAATCTGGAAAAAGTGTTTGGCTAAAATGTTGACACTGCAATGTCCATACTCTTGAAAACCATCAGCTTCATATGCTGGCACATTTACTGGATCAAAGATACTGAGGGCACTAATAACATCAGAGCTTGAAACAAATCTTTGATCCAAATTATTTGATAGAGCTGCTACATACTTTTGTGTAAGGCTTTGCATTTGTTGATACGAGGTGGGGGGAAATGTGATATCACATCCAAGATTTGTAAAGCTATCGACATCTGCTTGTAGTTTGTCCATAGGGATGTCATCCTCAACAATTCTGTTCAAATGTTGTTTGGTTGCTTTGATTTGTGGTTGAATAAGGGAGAAATTTATGTTGCTTCTTTGAAATGTGTGG